AAGCCTCGGTCAGTGTGGTTGCCATGTTGTCTCCTGAATGAGAGAACCGAGCCCAAAGAGCCAATGATGTGGGGTGGGTCCCATTCTTGGGAAAGCCCGAGGGCAAAGCAGCTTTTGAGGCCACACTTAGCTTCTCACTGAGTGAGCTTCTAGAAGCTCATGCTGGGTAGCTGCCAAAGTCTTCAGCCCTGACCTTCCCATTACCCACCTGCCCCCACCACACAGGCCTGGCCAGTCAGGCAGGGTCCTGGAACAGCCTGTCTCAGCCTTTCTTCAGGGTCAAAACGTAAGCCCTTCACCCAGGCCAACTATCCCTGCTTCTCAAGATCTTTTCCCTCCTTCCTTCCTCTGCAATGTTGATTATTATAATGTCTTGTCTACACTGGAGGAGGGAAAAAAAATATAGTTAGGCGGGAAGGGGAAATTACATTTCCAGGGATTGTTTCAAGGTGACTGTTCTTGCTGCTTAAGACAAAACTGTATGCCTCGGGCTGGCAAGGAGCCTACACACACACACACACACACACACACTCGCACACTAAAGGGAAGGAGCCTAAACATACACACACACACATGAATGCACTCATATATTTGCACACACACACACACAGAGAAGGGAAGAAGTCTACACACACACACACACACACACACACACTTGGAAAGGAAGGCGTTTACGCAAACACACACACACATATACACACAAAATAGAAGGCGCCTAGACACACACGCACACACATACAGAAGGGAAAACACGATCTAACCTGAGAGCTTCAGAACTCGCACCCGCTCCTTCCTGAAGAAGCAGCTGTCCCTTGAGAGTCCCTCCAAAGGTGCCACCAGGCCAGCACACAGAGAAGCTACGCTGCGTAAGTGGGTGATATCTCCACCTGTGAAGGCAGGCTCAGAGATCCAGTAAAGCACCAAGGCGTGGCCCTGGTATTCCGAAAGGGCCTTCCTCGGAAGGAAGTGGTCCAGCAGAGGCTCCACCTGTGTGGCTTAAAGGGACAGAGGAGGGAGTGAAAATTCTCACAGAGTCAACACTTGGGGGTGGGGCGGAACCCTAATACAAGAAAAGCTGGGGTTGTGTATGTGTAAAGGAAGAGAACGCAGAACTGTTTCAAAATTAAAACCACACTTCACATCCTCACAGCTCAGGACAGACTTCTTCATCTACAAATAGGAAGATATAGGAAAACAGTAAAATTAGGTCGGGGCATGATGATGGTGCAGAGTTATAGTCCCAGCACTAGGGAAGCAGAGGCTAGAGAATCAAGAGTTCAAGGTAAACCTCTGCTCTATACTGAATTCCAGATCAGCCTACGCTACAAGGAGGCTCTGCCCAAAAATGAAAAAAATAAAATAAATTTTTAAAAATGAAGGAAAAAGATGGTGTGGAAGGGCAGGATGGCCTTGTGGGTAAAGAAGACTGGAGGAGAGCAGAGACAGAACTTCAGCGGCTTGCTGATCAGCTTCCCAGAGGGGAGCTTCGGATCCAGTGAGTGACACCAGGAGAAACTAATGCAGAGGTGGGGCTGGAGAGACAGCTCAGTAATGAGAGCTCACTGCGCTTTCAGAGGGCCCGAGTTGGCATCCACGTGGAGTGGCTCGCAACCACGGTCAACTCCAGCTCCAGAAGGTCCAGCACCCTCCTCTGGCCTTCAAGAACACTCACAAACTGGTTGCTCACGTACAGACACAAACACATAGAAAATAAATTATTTAAAATATGTAAATAAATACCAGGCACAAAGAATGAAAACTTTCTGAAGATTTTAAAATGACTGAGAACCTCCCAGGGGGAGGGAGGAGAGAGAGGGAGGAGGGAGAGTTGCGGCACTACGGTGTACGCTCCCATGGAGATGGGCACGACAGTGTTGTGACAACACTGAACTGTACCCTTTACAGTGGTTTAGGTGACAAATGATGTCTGGATTCACCACGATGAAAGACCAATTAGCAAATCTTAAAAATTCCCTTCCTCGGGTGAATAAAGGCAGTGTGAGTGGTATGTACATACAGTGGAACATTACACAGCCATGAAAGAAAATTAAGAGTCAACACATGTGAATGAGCCCTGGAAACATAAAGCCACACGGGCAGAGAGCAGATTGGCAGTGGGCGGTTGCATTCGTCACAGTTCGGATCACAGCCTCCCACTGGCCTCTGTGAACATAAGAAATCCATTGCACCAGTAAGGCAGGTGTCCCGAGGGCAGTGCGGATTACACAAGTCACGTGTCCTCAGACACTGGGAAAGAGAGCAAGGGTGAGAAGCAGAGGCTGCTCATTGCTGCTGAGGATGCCCCACCACCACCACCCCAATCAGCCCTGCACTGTAGCTCAGCGCTGGCAATGTTCTTGGTGAGTGGCGGTAGCTAGATTGCATCTCCAGAAATGACAAATGCCCCTGTGGACCCACAATCCTCAGCCACAATGGTGAGAATGGTGTGTGACAAGCTGCCCTCAGGCTCAGTGAAGGTCATTTCCTCTGAAAAAAAAAAAAAAAACACAGTGGTGGGTGAGGAAGACTGAGGTCCTGAACTGAAAAACCCATCCTATAAACCAGCTGCATTTATTATCACAGCAAAAGGGCAAAAAGGAATTGCTGCCCAAAGTGGCAGCATGTGCCCATAAACCCTGTGGAGCATCACTTCCTGCGTGGCAGTGATCACCAAAGGGTGAGCAAACCACCCACAGAGAGGCTCCTACTAGCCAAGGTAGGTCTCATCCTTGCCAACTGGACCTGGCATCGCCATGGTACTACGTCAGCACAGGCGAGAAAAAGCTAGAGCACAGAGCTTCCACAGAGTTAGTCCTGCCACTCAACGACAAACAAACCGTAACAAAAAGAGGCCAAGTGGAGAACGGGACTTAATAGGTGCAGGGTTTTCGGTGGGATAATGACTTAGGACGAGGTGTGCATGTGTTTTTCTCAGGCTTACTATGGCTGTGATGAAACACCATGGCCAAAAGCAACTTGGGGAAGAAAGAACTTATTTGGTTTCCACACTGTATGTAGTCCAACACTGAAGGAAATCAGGGCAGGAACTCAAGCAGGGCAGGAACCTGGAGGCAGGAGCTCATGCAGAGGCCATGGAGGGGGTTGCTTACTAGCTTGTTCATATTGCTACTCAGTCTGCTTTCTTATAGAACCCAGGGCCACCAGACCAGAGATGGAACCTCCCACATTGGGCTGGGCCCTCCGCCATCAGCTACTAATTAATAAAATTTCCTGTCTTATGAAGGCATTTTCTCAGTTGAGGTTCTTCCTTTCAGATAACTCTAGCCTGTCTTATGCTCACATAAAACTAGCCAGCATGAAATATACTTTGAATTGTAGAGTTTAAAATGGCTAATTTGGAGGCTAAAGAAATGGCTCGGCATCTAAGAGCACTTGCTGCTCTTTCAGAGGACCCAAGTTTGGTTCCCAATACCCACATGACGTGACTCACAGCCTGTAACTCTGCCTCCAGAGATCCATCACTCTCTTCTGTTAGGCACCAGCACACACTTGGCATACACACACACATACACACACACACACACAAATAAATAAATAAATAAATAAAAACAAATCTTAGCCGGGCTGTGGTGGTGCACGTGCCTTTCGTCCCAGCAGAGGCAGAGGCAGGTGGATCTCTGTGTTCAAGGCCAGCCTGGTCAAGTTCCAGGACAGTCAGAGCTACACAGAGAAACCCTGTCTTGAAAAACAAAACAAAAATCTTTAAACTAGCTAATTTTGTTATGAGAATTTCAGTTCCATGAACATTGAATCTAATTTTAATCTTTAATTCCTTGGAGCTGGCACAGCCTTGGCCCTACATCCTACAAAACGCAGCCCCAGGTCTTGTCCCGTGCAGTATGACTGGCACAAGACAGGCAACCCTGGGCCTCATAGAGGGTTGAGAAACTCACCCTTCCCACAGTGACAGACGTTCACCTCTTATTACAAAATAGCAGCCCAGGAGGGTGACCAGGGTGAGTGGAACCACTGCAGGTGCCCACAGCTGAAGCCTGGTGATTTCCAGGGTGTATTCGTCCCTGTACCCTAGTTCTGCTTGAGAAAAACTCAAGACACACATCGGGAGTGAGACTCTAAGCCACTAGGAGGGATGAGAGCATGCATTTCTGTAATCATATAAGACATCTGCCATGGGGCTGAAGAGACGACTCGACAGTTAAGTGATGTGGGATTGTCCCGTACATGTGCAGGTTTTATTCACTAACGAATAAAGCTACTTTGGCCTATGGCAGGGCAGAATATAGCCAGGCTGGAAGAAATACAGAGAGAGAGTAGGCGGTCTCGATGAGGCGCCATGAAGCCACCTAAGAGGCAAGAGGTAACAAACCACGAACTTTGTGGTAAAATACAAATTAGTAAAAATGGGTCAATTTAAGATATGAGTTAGCCAGAAATATGCTTGAGTCATTGGCCAAACAGTGTTATAATTAATATAGTTTCTGTGTGATTATTAAGATCTGGGCAGCTGGGAACAAAAGAGCAGTCTCCTTCGACAGTTAAGAGCATCTGCTGCTCTTGCAGGGGCCCTGGGTTTGGCTCCCAGCACCTACACAGTGGCTCACAATCATCCAAAGCTCTAGTTCCAAGTTCTTCGAACTTCTTCAATCACCAGGCGCACATGGTGAATCTATGTACATGCAGGCAAAATAAACTCAAACACATAAAATAAATCTTTTTTTAATTAAAGAAAAAATAGAGAAAAAAGAAATTTATCACAAGGTCTGCTTTTAATTTTTCAATTAATTTTTTTCTTGAAATCTCACTTTTGCTAGATACTGTAGTTGCCCCCATTTTGCAGAGATGAGAAGAACTGAGGCTTAATTAAGGTTATTAATTAAAATCACACAGCTAACGAGTCTGGGTTTCAATTCTTGCAGTTTGACACTCCCACCCCCACCCCCACACACATACACACACACACACACACTCACACACACACACTGTCAGTTTTTCTAGGACATCCTGTCCCCTTGGATTGGATTGGGAGAATACAGGAAAAAACCCAGCCCTCTCCTACAGAGCCTCAACCAGAGACAGCTACTACCAGCAGGCGAGCGGGGCTGCCTGAAGCCAGCGGCAGAGCCAGTTCCACATCTGCGGCCGGTGCAACCTCCTGGCAACTACCAGCCGCTATCCACCAGGCTCTCCAGGATAGGTGCTCCGGTAGAAAGTCAGGTGAGCGCGTCTTCTCTCTGGGAAGATGGCAGGCAGAGACCGGAGACAAATGGTTCTCTCGGAGGTGTGAGGGGTGAATGTCTATCTATTTGTCTGTGTGTCTGTGCTGGAGACCCCTGGGGCTGGTGGTGAGCCGGCACTGCCAATGTTGGGAAGAAACCTTGTTGGGAACAAATAACATTGATGTTGCTACAAAATGTGTCTGTTCTTGGGTCAAACTTAAGCAGTCACAGTTTGAGTTCTAAACATACTTTCCATGTCTCTTCAGCCCGGGAGTGTTTTCCAAACTCCCCTAACCTCTGTGACTTTTAGTTGGGGGGCGGGGGACAGAGACTGCCGTTGGGAGAGCATCCCTCTTCTTTCTTTTACAACCCTCCCTTCTTTTCTAACAGGCATTTAGCTGGTCCTCATGTCAGACAAACCCAGCCCTGGGCCCGGCCCCACTTTGGCACCCGGCAATGATTTTGGAGAGATTCACAACTGGACAGAACTGCTCCACCTTTTCAACCACACCTTTTCTGATTGCCACACGGAACTCAACGAGAATGCCAAGCAAGTCGTCCTCTTCGTCCTCTACCTGGCCATCTTTGTGGTAGGGTTAGTGGAGAACATTCTGGTGATATGCGTCAACTGGCGCCGCTCAGGCCGAGCGGGGCTGCTGAACTTGTACATCCTCAATATTGCCGTCGCAGACCTGGGCATCATCCTGTCTCTGCCCGTCTGGATGCTGGAGGTCATGCTGGACTACACCTGGCTCTGGGGCAGCTTCTCCTGCCGCTTCACCCATTACTTCTACCTTGCCAACATGTACAGCAGCATATTTTTCCTCACGTGCCTCAGCATTGACCGCTACGTCAGTCTCACCAGTGCTTCTGCCTCCTGGCAGCGCCACCAGCACCGAATACGGAGGGCCGTGTGCGCAGGCGTCTGGGTCCTCTCGGCCATCATCCCACTGCCTGAGGTGGTGCATATTCAGCTGATGGATGGCTCTGAGCCCATGTGCCTCTTCCTAGCACCTTTCGAGACGTACAGCACATGGGCCCTGGCGGTGGCTTTGTCTGCTACCACCCTGGGCTTCCTGCTGCCCTTCCCTCTCATTGCGGTTTTCAACATCCTAACAGCCTGCCGCCTTCGGAAGCAAGGACGGCCAGAGAGCAGGCGCCAGTGCCTGCTGATGTGGGCTTACATAGCCGTCTTTGTCATCTGCTGGCTGCCCTACCACGTGACTATGCTGCTGCTCACCCTGCATGCGACCCACATCTTCCTCCACTGCCACCTGGTTAACCTGCTCTACTTCTTCTACGAAATCATCGACTGCTTCTCCATGCTGCACTGTGTCCTCAACCCCATCCTGTACAACTTTCTCAGCCCCAGCTTTCGGGGCCGGCTGCTGAGCATTGTGGTCCGCTACCTTCCCAAGGAGCAGGCCAGGGCATCATCCTCCACCCAACACTCCATCGTCATTACTAAAGAGGGCGGGCTGCCTGGGGCAGATCTCCACCCCAACCCCATCCGAAACTCTCAAGAGGCATCTCCTCTGCCTCCGAACACTTCGGCTACACTCGGCAACTCCATAGGCAGCTAAGATGGATTCCAGACTCTTCCATCGGTAACGAAGTCCAGATCTGGGGGAGGAGACAGGGGAGTAACTGGCTTGTTCAGGGTCAATTTTAAATATATCAGAACCTTGCTGTGGGGAGCTGGGGAAAAGGTTGGGAAGGACAGGGTATGGTTCCTCCCTTGGTGGTAAGCTATTTGTTTGGGACTTCTTGGCTAAGAGAGCCGCACAGGTGGGGGGAGGGGTGAAATAAATAAATTAGTAGCGACAGCTGTGCTGGGATCTGAGCGCTGTGCACGCCCAGCTGGGCTTCGGAAGGCACGGAAGCGCAGGAATGTTCTGCAGAGGGAACTGGATGCCCCTGTTCATAAATCACCCTGGCCGGAAAGAGTCCGCGCCGCAGGAACCTTGCAAAACTTTGCTTTTGTGTTTGTGTGCTTGTTGATCTTCCAGCTCACTAAGCAAGTTGTGGGGACAAGGGGCCAGAGGCCAAGGACCCAGGAGGCTTCTGCCGGGCCATTCTAGCAGTACACAGCGAGTCAGATAAGGGGGTGGGGACTACAGCCTGGCCAGCTGGGTCTTCGGCAGGCACCCCACCGCCGGCTCAGCAGGATGGTCCCTCCACCCAGACATCCAGGAAGTGTGGCTCCATTTCCCTGTGGTACCCTCCCTTCCCCCACCCATCCTGCTCCCCTACCCCCCCCCAAAGCCGAGACCTCCTCACGATGACCTCCCGGTTTGAACCTAGGATATACCCCATTTCCTAGAGAAGCACAGAGCCACCTAGTGACCCCACCCCACCCCATCTCCCAGATTACCACAAAGTATCTGGGGACATTCATTGTGTGCCTCTGCCTTTGTCCCCTGCTGGGAGAGGGAAAGGAGCCAAAGACTGGCTTCCCCATTTCCAGAACTCTACAGTAAGTTCTCCCTAGCCAAGTCCTTCCAAGGTCTCCCTGCCCAGCACCTTGTCTAGGAACACTATAATAGATAATATATCCTCTTGCTAACAGGTGAGTCCGCGGCAAAGGCTCGGGTGCCAGACTTGGGAAACAGGGCGGGAAACATGAACTCTAGCTTCTGCCTTGTGTCCTTGGCCCCTGGGCAGCATCTGGAGGTCGATGGACTTGCAGTCTGCTCTGGTAAGGGGTGCCCCCATAATTTCCTCTGATTCTTCACTGTCTGTCTCTCTGGCTCTGCTCACCGGCAGCGTCCCTGGAATGTGTGTATGTGTGCGTGTGCACGTGTGTGAGAGCACGCATGCGTCCAGACATGCTCAAGTGTGTGCCCATGCATACGGAAGGTAAACATCAGATGTCTCCATCAACTGACCTCCAACTTCTTTTCTGAGATAGGTCTCTCACTGTACCTCCAGAGCTCCAGGGATCTGTCCATCACCCCAGTCTAGCTTACAGAAACCTCACCCTCTACTTGCCAGACCAATCCCTCAGACGCTGTGCCAAATGTGCAGAGAGAACCAACGTCGACTCTGTGCACTGGCTCCAAAGCTAACAGGCTCTTAGAGACAGCTCCTCAGGGGCAGAGTTCAAGGCTTTTTGGCCCAGAAGTCTTAGTTGCTGCTTAAGTTACAGTAAAAATTTAACCAAATAATGCAGAAATTGCATTAAAAACCCTTCTTCTTGTCCCCATTTACAATGAAGGCAAAGTTCTGATGCCCATACCACTGTGACACTGGTACACATCTTACACCTTGAGACCAGGTGTCACTGAGCAAATCTCCTGAGGGCTGTTCACCCAGAAGGGATGAGCAGAAATAGATACACTGACTACAAGCAGATGACTGGCCAGGCCTCAGGCTTCGGGACCAAAGGGACCACAGGTCATGTTCTGAGGACCTAACTTACAGAACGCCAAGCCTCTGCCTCCTGTTTGCTCTTCCTTTTCCACCCCATCTGCCTCCCACACTACTTCCCCATGAAGTGGCAATAGCAAGAACCCTTGCTTCCTGACTTTGGGCTGAGACTCTGCAAGAGGCCCACTGGACTCTCCAGGCTGCAAGATCACCTCAGGGAAGTTTCCCTGAGACACTGAGTACTTGACTTCAATTCTCTCTAAAAAACAGCCAACACACCAGTCCTGGGGAATTCCAGCGTCAGGAAAACACAATGTGTTATCTGAAAGAATCCTGGCATCTGCGGGGCTGGCGTGAGCTCTAGAGGTCAGCCAGAGTCAGACGCTGAACTCCGGGCCTGAGCAAACATGCATGCACACGGAAAAAGAACTCCCACTTCAAATTTCTTTCTTTTTTTCTTTTTTATTCTAAATAAAAACCACACTTTGTGCTGAACAATGGAATATAAAAGAACCAGATGTAAGATTTTAGACGTCTACTATTTGGGGGAAAAGGTTTACAAAATATACAAAACTTTACAGCAGATAGTAAACACTTAAATATTAGGAGGTCAGTACTTCTTAATTTAATGGAAGGGTTAGACATCAACAGCTTCTCTGCTTCACCAGAGACTTGAGCTACTCCAGGTGGGGGAGGGTGGGACTGACGAGGACGGTGTCGAACATCATCACGTGTCGTTTGCTCTGACACTGGCTGTGATGTGTACCCACTTTCTGACTCACATGGAGCAACACTTCGGGGAGAGGGAGAGGACATGTAGGTACTCCCAGACAGGCAGAGACTACTTCATAGGGCCCACTCCCTTGCCAACAAACTCAGTGTCCATCTAGAAGGGGATTAAATTAATTTTCAAAGTTGAGTAGTATAGGGGCTAGTGGAAAGGGCACAGCAGGAGGCCAAAAGAGGAAGACAATCAGTAGCAAAATCCTGCCTGGGGGGAAAAGCACTGAAGTTTACAGGTTTGCCCTGTGGACAGGGGGCTGTGAATGTCACAATAAAGAAAATATAACTCTTACCTATTTCCTGGTTCTTAGGGTTACCTGACCCCCACCAACATCACTTTTCTTCCCAACTAACCATGAACTTCGGGGACTCCAAAGAATCTCAAAACTTAAAACCAAATATTAGGGTTCATTCAGTAGAGTTTCCAGCCAGTATATGACATGACTGACCATCAGGGGTCACCCGCAGCCTCCAAGGACACACAGGCCATGCTGTCTATGCAGCTTACCACACCAACATTACAATTTCCCTTAGGAAACCAACTAGGAATGTTGACTTCATGCTCTCCAAACAGTCAGCCAGCCAGCCAGCCCGGGTGACTGCTGGGCAGAGTTCTGAAAACTCTGCAGGTGGGTCCTGAGTACAGACCAAAAGGAGAGGGGGCAAAAATGGAGCATTCTAGGGTCAAAGAGAACTCTAAAGCAGTACAGCCGGGGATAGTGTTAAATGGAAATTCAAAAGGGAGGCAAAAAGTGAAATCAATTGGGTATCAAAAACTAAAAATGCAAAACACCTTCCACCAGGTAGCCTGGGTACCCTTCACTACCATGTAACATTTCAAGTAAATCAACTCAAGAGAAGAACGAACTAGATTCGGGGAAAGCAAACAACTTCACACGGAAGGGGAGACAGGAATGGATGTGGGGCTGCCCACAGAGGCATGTCTAGGACAGCCTCAGGAGCCACCGCTTCCACCTGCTACATGTCTGACTGGGACCTAGTGGATCTCCCTGATCAACTAACCTCGCGGGACCAGAGGGCACAGTTTGGTTTTAGTGTTTAAAGGGCAAAAGTTCAAAGATCTGCTTTTTGGTTTATGGCAAAAAAAGGAAAACTTCACAGTTTCAGGTTAAGTAGACAGACCGACCACCCAGCATCCACGATGCCATAAGCTACGGAAAAGGGTTTCTCCACTCTCAGTGACTTGGTTGAGGTCCGGGAAGTACCACCCCCTCATCAGCCAGTCCACACTCGCTCACCAGCAGTCTGGAAAGTTCAGCAGATCCATCACGGTAGCTTGTTACCCATCCCCAGGGAAAGGAAACCAGAGTTGTGGCAGTGATTTCTCAATGAAAAGGCGGCCTTTCACTAGTCACTGTCTGAGGCTCATCATGTGAGCCCCCCGGATGCCCTGGGCATTTCTTTATTCACAGGCTTTCTCAGTTCAAGGCTGGGGAAAGAGGCAGCCAGCCCAAGAAGGATACAGCTTTGGTTTGCCTCTGTGTCTTAAAATATATGGACAGGAGGCTGCCCAAGCTGGAAGTATAAAAACTGTGCAAAAACCTTCATGTGACTTGATCTAGATTTGCTCTGCTAGAAACTACACCTGGAGAAGAGAAACTGTGCTCTTTAAAAGGCCTGGCACATCTTCTCATGGTTACACGCCTGTTCTCCAAATCCACAGCCATACCCATCTGGTGGAATATGGTTCCTTGCTTGAGAGAAACTAATTTTCCTAAAGTCACTTATCGAAAAGAGATGCTGGGTAATATGTATACAAAACAAAAATAAATAAATATTAATGTCTAAAGGCCTTGTGAGTTAATTAAAACCACTTGTTTATGAAATAGCCCAGAGTGCTGCTGAGTCCCACCAGGGGCAGTGTCAGTGGCTGGGCCCAAAATTAGGGACTCTCAGAGCTCACCTGAGCAGGGTGAGGTAGTATGAGCTACTGAGGTGCCATCTTATAAGTATGCAAGATCAAGGGTTCTCTCCTCCAACCTTTTTTGGGCAAGGCCCTTTCAAAGACTAAGGAGCCAATAGCCACATGGAAGGCCTAAGCCAGCTACCATCCAAGATCGCCCCCTGGAGGTGATGCTCAGCATGAACGCCAAACTCCCATACTTTTACCACCAAGTAAACAAGTTACCCACATGGAACAGTCAGAGCACACACCCTGCCATATATCACCAGTTAATCGGGTTCCTTAAATCCACCGCCTCACAGGTCTTCTCGTCTACGCTGTAGGCCAAACCATCCTGAGTGGGAGACTTGATGTGAATTAAGGCAAGACTGCTGCTGTCAAAGAAGTTCCCTCCTCCGTGCCCAGGAGATACAGGGTGAAGGAGGTGGCCAGGTGACAGATGACTACATTGAAGTGGCTCTCTGTCCTCTCTGCTCGTGACAGAAGGCTTGACATCCAGGGCTATACTCTAAAAAAATCATGTTTCTTTGGAAACGAGGAAAAAGAGGGGCATCTTCTTCCATTCATGCAGGCTTCCCATCGGGTGGCACCATGGACACCCAGAGCTTGCATGGGACACCCAGAGCTTGCATGGGACACCCAGAGCTTGCATGGGACACCCAAAGCTTGCCAATCTAAACAGAAGGCTTGGTCCTCAGTTTAGATCTAGCTGACAAGAGATTTTCAGTCTAATCGGGAGATTTGAGATGCAGAGCAAGTAGTGCCCTCAGCTCCTGACACCTTGTTCCTACTGAGCGGGTAGAACCCCGAGATGAACTGCCCTGCCCTGTTACTCGTCCTTCAGAATGACCAATTCCCCAAACCTTCTCAGAGATGTTGTACCGCCAAAAGTCGGGCAGTCACCCCCACAGTGAAAACCTCTCTCCACCTCTTCTATCCAGTGAGGCTGCTGGTAGGTTCTTAGCAGCATAAAATCTATCAGTAAACTAAAACAAGAGAAACTGGCAAAGGGGACCTAGTAGACAGGCCCGCTTGACGAGATCCTAAAGACCAGCCTCAAAATAATCAAGAATGCAGCCCCTCTGTGGGCAAGAACAGGTATGGAGGTAAAGGTAACGGGGCTGCTGCCTCTCGCAAACAGTAACAGCTTATGTGCTCTTTCTTCTCTCAACGCGACACAGAGTAGAATTCCTAGCAAGGCAAACTGTAGCGTCAGCTGGGCAAGGACCTTCTAGAAAATCACTACCCGGCTGCCACCTGGGAGCCCCCTGGCTCTGCAGAGACCCCGTCAGCTGTCTGGGTTCTTCTCAGTCTCTTTGGAATGGATAATGTACATGAAGGTCTGCTCGATGGTGAAGTCAGGCGGAAGGCTGCCCTTGTGGACACCGACATGTTTGCTCATGAGGTTAAGGGTGGAACTGTAGTGGCCACAGACGGTACAGCGGTACATAAGCGCCCCCGAGTGTGTCTTGAGGTGGCACTTGATGGTCGAGCGACCTCGGAAGAACTTGTGACACACCTTGCACTGGTAAGGCTTCTCACCCGTGTGGATCCGCCGGTGGTAGTTGAACTCACTCGTGTGGGCGAACCTCTTCCCACAGACCTTGCAGCTATACTTGCTGTTGGCAGGCTGGCCCTGCAGAGCCAGCTCCTCGCTCAAAAACTCCTCCGCGGGCAGCTTCCGCTTCTGGAGGGCGAGGTGCTGCAGCCCCAGAGCAGGCCGCGAGTCAAAGCCACTGGTGCATTTGTGCTGGCTGACGTGGTAGCGGTAGGCAGCCTCAGACCGGAAGCTCTGGCTGCATAAGTGGCAGCGGAACAGGGTGTCCTCCAGGCTCTGGTGCACAGCCATGTGCTTCTCTAGGAGGTGCCAGTCCACAAAGCTGCTGGCACAGACTGAACAGGAAAAGACCGAGATGCCCAGATGAGAGAGGGTGTGCCACATGAGGCTGCACAGGTTGAGGTGGCGCTGGTCGCAGACGCTGCACGCCTGGCCCTTCAAGTTCAGATGGTCAAGGACGTGGCCTCGGACCACATGGAAATCTTTGGCCAGCGCTTTCCCACAAGCAGCACATTTCAACTCTGGGGAGGCCGCCCCCGGAAAGAGACCCAGTTTCCCAGAAAGGGGCTCGTTAGGGTGGACAATGATGTTGTTCTCAAATATGCCGTCCCGCCGATGCAGCGTCAGCTGCCACTGGGTAAAGAATTTCGTTTCACACATGTCGCAGGAAAACAGAAAAATACCAATGTGGGACAGGACATGGGTCACCCGGGAGTTCCGGTCCTGGAAGTGGGTCTCGCAGACCTTGCAGTTACCTGTGAGCAAGTCCACGTGGTCCCGAGCGTGCTGCCGGATCAGCTGAATGTTGGGCTCAAGAACTTTCTTGCATACCTGACAGGGCATGGCCTTATTCTCCCGGCTGTCACTGTCACCAAAAGTCAGGTCATCCTCGCTGTCATCGCTCAGCTCAATCACCTCCTCAGTTGTCCCGATCTCTTCGGCCGGGTCCTCGAACTGCAAATCCTCATCCCCCAGGTCCTCCAGTTGGAGCTCCTCCACCTGCCCAAAGCCTGGATCTTTGGAGTGGTCGCTATTGCTCAAACAGGAATTGGTCCCAGCTGTAATGTCTATGGCACTGTCGGAGGCGAAGAAGCTGCTTTTACTGAAGTCTCCATTGCTCTGAACTTTGTATGGCTGGCAAGAACTTGCACTGGTCTGGATGCCCGTGCTGACAGTGCCTAGGACTGGCTGGGTCACCATAGTAGGAACAGACGTGAATGAAACAGGGGCATCGTGGTCTTCTGTCTTTGGTGGCAAGGGCAGCTGTGGCAGGGGCAAGCTGTGATTAGCATCACTGACAACATTCCTTTCTTCCTCTTTATAGCTCCCTCCAGCATCAGTAGGCAACATATAGTTTCTCTCAGGACCAAAGTGTTCCCCACTTCCCCGGAGTTCCCCAAGAGGGTGGGTGGGATCTGCTGAAGGACACCTCAGAGTACCAGACTGGCTATCACTGGTGCTGGTCAAGGACTTAGCTACTGCAGTGCTCTCTAGGTCGGGAAACGTGGAGTGGCAGGCCCGAAGCAGGTCCTCCATACCCAGACGCTCGGCGACCTCATAGATGACCCCAACGTTGATCAGGTCTGTGAAAAGTTCTGAGGTGTAGACAAAGCTCAGAATCTTCTCGAAGTTGGCAGGAGTAATGAAGTCCACCACATAGGTCCGGGCGGCATCAAGCCCAGTATTCAAGAAGAGGTTCTGGAAGTAGCCAGCTGCGCACGCCAACACTGCCTTGTGGGCAGGAAAGGAGCGGCTGCCCACCACGATAGTGACATCGCACATGGTCTCTGACAGCCGGCACTTATTGAGTTCCTTCAGCAGGTTGTTGGGGTGGTTGGTGCTTTGCAGTTTGATTCTCATGCCCATCTTAGCAGCTCCTAGGAAGTGGCCTCTATCAGCAAGGTCAATCTGGGGACAAGACAAAAAAGATAGCTAAACATCCCTAGAAAGGGGCTCTGTATAGGATACCACCGTTCTGAACATGACCTGACTGAGCAGGAGTAAGCAGACTGGAGAACCGGAGAACAAGGGAGGAGAAGTCTGTTCCCTGTATAAACCCAACTAGAGAACCATCGTGATGAAACCCCAAAGGGATGAGAAAAAAAAAATCTAAGAATCTGGGCATGCAGACAGTTCAGTCATTAGAAGCATCCGCGGTTCATATAGAGGACCCAGGTTCCATGTCCAGCACCAACATGTCTGTAACTCTAGTTCCAGGGGATCTGACATCTCCTGCTGGCCTCTTCAGGCAACAGAACCACAGAGTAAACTTATGTACATGTAGGCAAGCACTCATACACATGAAAGAAAAATAAACAAATCCTTTTTAAAAACCTAAGAGACCAGGTTTATATACCAATAGCACATACCTATCATTCTAGCACTCAGAAGGCTTGGGCCAGAATATTAGGAGTTCTAGGACAGTCTGGGCTATGAAGAACGATGTGGCCATAGGTGTCAGGCTTGGAATCTTCCACTGAACACAATCATCTGGATGGCCAAAACAACGGGCTCCATCTTTTTATTAGCCTCCTAAGTCAAGTTTCCCTTGTCATTTAAAGCCTATCCTCTTTCCTCACAACGCCAAATGCCACAAATCAACTTGCACACCATTATCAAAGCACCACTGGCTACTGAGAACGAGGTACGGTTGTCTGTCCTTGCAGGCCTCCAAATAAAGCTCACACTCTTTTTTCTTTCTTTCTTTTTCACTTTTTCGAGACAGGGTCTTATGTAGCCCAGACTGACTTTGAAACTGCTGTTACTAAGGATGGCCTTGAACTCATCATGATCCTCCTGCCTCCACCTCCCAAATGCTAGGTTACAGGTGAGTCACCAGACCCAGTTCAAAATCTCACCCTCTTGAATTCCCATCTCGCCCTTCCCAGAGCCATTCTGGACACTTGCTTTCTCAGCGTTACCGTATGAACTCCTACTGTCGATGACGCTAAACTAACAACCAAGGAAGAAAGCAAAGCAAACACAACTGTGGTATTTTACCATTACTTAGGTATGCTGTATTTCTCCTTGCCAACCTTACACTAACAATTGGATGCCTTATGAAAGACATCGATTGCATAGGAAAAATTCCTTCAAGTCTTTTTAATACTTTTTCCCCTTTTGGCTCCCGCACACCTCGGAAGAACAGCCAGCTAGTGCTAGTCGCACGCTTGTGCGGTTCACAACTCGCCCTGAGCAGCACAGCCCCTTTCTCCATCGCACCAGGTCCTACCAACAATTCCCAACTTTCTCCGGGGCCCAGCACTCGTCTGTGTACTACTGGGTACCAACCACGCGTCTCCCGGGCCCTGGCGATCACTCATCCACCGTGGGAGGGTTCGGGTACCCGGTAGATTTGGAACTTGCAAGGAGTGCGCCCCAAAGGTCTGGCAGCGCCGCGGTCGCCCCTCTGTGCAATCCGCCGAGAGAGGGGCAGGACGGGGCTGGGGCGCACCACCGCGGAGAGGGGGCACCTCGGTGGCCCCAGGCAGCGCGGGCTGCCCCCGCAAGACACAGGCCGGGCGCCGCGGGAGCCGGCCG